TAATTGGTATATATAATCATAATATTAACAATTTTTTTATATAATTAATACATGCACAGAAATTTACTAAGGTTTATAAACACGCAACTAGTACAACACCCGTGTATTACACGGGTGCTTGTTAAAAAATTATTTTTAAATTTTAAAGTTAATGAAAAAACTATATTTTAGTTTACTTTTTTACAAAAAAAATATATTACTATATATTTTAGAATGATATGTGTTACTTATGACTTACATGTGTTATATTATATTAGTTTTTATAACTTATATCATATAATTACTTGAAATATAAATATATTAATTGATACATAATTGTATTTTTCTAATTAATATTAAAAATAATTTTGTTATTGTTATAAAATAAATATAAATTATTTTTTTTTTATATATACAATATGAATGTTAATCGAAACTCATCAAAAGAAGATTAATTTAGAAAATAAAAACATATTTGAAATTCTTAAATAAATAATAAATAATGGATCATGTTACATGTACCCCTTGTGTACCACTTGATTTACATTCAATGAGTATATGTACCCATTCACCCTTAATGAATAATTTACTAAATTATTCAAGTGGTATACCAAGTGTTACATGTACCCATTTACCCTTAATGAATAATTTACTAATTTAAGGGTAAATGGGTACATGTACGCCTTAGATGTAAATCAAGTAGTACACCAAAAGGTACAAGTAGCATTATTCTAAAAAAATATGTTAAATAACATTATTCTACATATAAAGGCACTATATTTTTGTTCGTGTCCCACCATTAATTAATTAAAGTTTTCAATAAAAGTTAACAGGGTTGACTCAAGTGGTAAGCAGCTTGATGTCGCTTAAGCAATGTCTCATGTTCGATTCCTTGTGAATGTAGAAAACCCTTGTTGGGAGACTCACCCACCACTGCTAGGTATGCGACCCAGGTCGACCAACCGATTAGTCGGGACATAGCTCCAAATATCGTGTCTGGGTACCCAAAAAAAAAAAAAATTTCAATAAAATGTAAGATTTTATTATCAATTAACATAATTTTAAAATAATATTAAAAAAATTATGATTATTTTGTGTTATATATAAGTAAATATTTTTATTTAAAAATACAAATCCAATAACTTGTGAAATAAAAATCAACTTTCCCCCTTATCCCAAGTTTCCAACAATCACCTCGCCAACGCTCTTTCAGTCAGTACTCAACACTAACAAATCTAGATTAGGAAAAAAAATTGATTCTTGAGGTCCCCCCCTTTATTCAACAGAATCAGCAGCAGATATTTTTAATTTCTCGATGTGGGATCTCTCCAAAGGCCTCCAGTCATGGCGGGGCCGTTTCAATACGTTACCCACTGTTTGCCGACATCCAAAGCGTAAAAAACTGCCGTTATGTGTGAGATCCAAAATGGGTGACCAATAACTGCAGAGATTGGTCAAGCATTTATTTCCCCTTTTAATGCTCACCTCAGAGTGTGTGTGTATAATATTATTATCGTTACAATTACAATTATAATCTCGTGAACTTGTTGAAATGCTGTTTTGATTTTTGGGTTTGCCCATTTGTTGGGTCTTTGTTAAATTTTTGTCCTTTTTTTTTTGGTGATTGGTGTTCTTCAGATCTTCATATTGGTGGTTCTTGATTTGGAAAATTGGTACAGTTTTCTTTCTTTTTGTAGAGAAAAAGGGAAAAAGGTGAGATTTTTAGGTCATTTTGGGGAAGATTAGATATGGGTTTTATAAGCACAGTGTTGGGGATTTTTGGGTTTGGGACAGGGATCGCTATTGGGCTTGTGATTGGGTACTTTTTGTTTATCTACTATCAGCCAACTGATGTAAAGGTCTGTGTTTTTTTTTTTTCTTCTCTTTAATGGTGTTCTTTAATGTTTAATGTGTTTAATCTTATTTTGTTTATGTGAATCTTATAGATTGTTTGATATGGGAATCGAATTATGATGTTTGAGGTTACTGTTATTCCAATCTGCATTCTTGCAAGAGTGTATTTGTTATTTGATTTAGACTTCGTTGACACTTATGTTTTTAGGCATCTGGACAAGATTGTGAGACATTGCTGTGTGAAATGTTTGATGTTTTTTGAATTTCCAGTGATTCCTATGATCATAAAGGGCTGATATTCTCTACAATCTTTTGTCTTATGAAAATTAAAAAACATATGACATTTATGTACAATAAACATTTATTTCTGTTTCCCTTGTTATATGATGTATTGGTTCCATTTTTTTATTTTTTATTTTTTTGTTTTTATTATGGTGTATAGGATCCTGAAATTCGTCCGTTAGCTGAGAAAGATTCTAAAAGTTTGCAGCAGCTGCTCCCAGAAATACCCGTTTGGGTTAAAAATCCAGATTATGATCGGGTCAGTTTGTTTGAATTGTGATCTGCTTGATTATAACAAAAAAAACGAAAAATGATTTTTTTTTTTTTTTTTTTTTTTTTTTTTTTTTTTTTTTTTTTTTTTTTTTGTCTAGCTTCTTTTAGTTCTTAGTTTCCGATTCTTTTTTCGGTCTACAGATTGATTGGCTGAACAAATTCATTGAGTATATGTGGCCTTATTTAGATAAGGTATGGTTTGTGAACTGCCTTGCCTTTAAGTTTGTGTATTTGATGGAATATTGACATTTTCGAGATACTCAGGCAATTTGCAAGATGGCAAAGAAAATAGCAGAACCCATCGTAGCCGAGCAAATTCCAAAATATAAAATTGAGTCGGTCGACTTTGAGAAACTGACTCTGGGCAGCTTACCACCTACGTTCGAAGGTATTTTTATTTTTTTCCATTAAACTTTCCTTCCCTTTTTTTTTTTTCTAAATGCTTCTATGATAAACAATTTTGATTATACGTAATGAGTCTCACATTATCTTTACATTCAATATCTAGTTGAGCCAATAGTGCCATAATGCATTCTTGCTCATATCAATGGTTTGAACAAACATGTTATGGTAATTATTTTTTTCATATCAATGGTTGAACAATACATTCAAGGTCACTGTTCATCAACAACATCAACATACCCAGTATATTCCCAAACAGGTTGGGGTCTGGGGGGTCAGTTGTACGCAGACCTTACCCTTGTAATTATACAAGGAGGCTGTTTCCATAGCGACACAAGGTGCGTTGCGTCGTTTGATATATTTTTTCTAGAAACTTCACTAATAGATTCAAGGTCACTGTTAGTCTATTATTTTTTCTTTGTCATTTATTATTTGTATTTGTAATTTTCTTTGTCCTTATGATCTGTTCCCAAATTGGATTCTCTTTCATCTCTGAATTCTGTATTTCTCTCTGCCTATGACAATAATTGTGCACAAAGAAAGGAAAAAGAATAGCATATTTCAATTTATATTTATTTTAAGATAACATGTCTGCATTTAACATCATAGGAATGAAAGTATACAACACGGAGGAGAAGGAGTTGATAATGGAACTTGGCTTAAAATGGGCCGCGAACCCAAACATCCTTGTTGCTGCCAAGGCATTTGGACTGAAAGTTACTGTCCAGGTATATATGTTGGGCTAATTGTGGACTCTTGATGAATAAATAAATAAATAAATAAATATATAAATGAAATGATTCTTACATATGTATTATTATTACTATAAACTCTGAGCAGTCCATTCGTGTATTTTTAGGTTATTGACCTTCAAGTATTTGCCAATCCACGTATCACATTGAAGCCACTAGTTCCAAGCTTCCCCTGTTTTGCTAATATTCATGTTTCCTTAATGGAGAAGGTGAGTGTTGATGTGTATTTATTTTTTATCATTTTTTTTTCTTAGAGTATAAATGAATGTAGTTTTCAGAACAAGTTTAATGCATTTTATCGATACTTTTTGTTTATATTATGATTTAGGTAGGTCAGTTGAACATGTACAAAACTCAGTGGGCAGGTCTATATAATGTTTTCTGAATTTAATTCTGTTTACAGCCTCATGTTGATTTTGGAGTAAAGCTGCTTGGTGTTGATGCCATGTCTATTCCGGGTTTATATAGAATTGTGCAGGTATTGCTTGTGATATTTAGTTATAAATTATTTGAATTCCATTGATAAATTATCTAAAAGTTTGTAACTTTGAGAAACATTTGTGCTTATTTTCAGGAAATAATCAAAGATCAGGTTGCAAACATGTATTTATGGCCGAAAAGACTTGAAGTTCAGATAATGGATCCAGCAAAGTACAATAACTCTCTGCTTTAAGAAGCTCTTTATGCCAGAATCATCATCTCCAAATAAAAACAAGATCGTAAATTTGTACTTTTTTTATTTTTATTTTTCCAAATTCACAGAGCAATGAAGAAACCAGTTGGGATTCTTAACGTTAACGTTATCCGAGCTATAAAACTGAAGAAGAAAGATCTTTTAGGGGCATCAGACCCTTATGTTAAGCTCAAACTCTCTGATGACAAGCTCCCGTCCAAGAAAACCACAGTCAAGCACAAAAACCTTAATCCCGAATGGAATGAGGAATTCACTTTTGTTGTGAAGGACCCTGAAACTCAAGTCTTGGACCTCACCGTGTACGACTGGGAGCAGGTAAATGTTTGTTTTCCCATATAAATCATAGTATATAGAATGTCTTGAAATTCAGTTCACCGTTTTTAAGGTAAACTAGATTAGATCTTTTAAGGCTATGTTTGGTAATCAAATAAACTTGCTTGTAGCATATTTGGTTAGCTTATAAGCTTCCTGTATGAGTATATTCAAATAAGCTTCGTTTGGTAGGACGAACTTTATTTAAATAAGCTCATTGGAATCCTTATATCAGCTAGCTTATCAGCTAATTTTATCAAACACTTTTATCATATAAGCTAACTTTTCAGCTTTAAGTCATAAACAATATCGAAAATCACTCATAAGCTATAAGCTAGCTTATCAGCTATCAGCTAAATTAATTATCGTCTAGTTTTAAAAAACTAAAAATAGCCTTACTCTTTACCCACTCATATATTTTTTGTTCAAATTTCAATACAAATGATACCTCTTTTTTACTTTTCAAGGTTGGTTCACACGACAAGATGGGGCTGAATGTAGTCCCACTAAAAGATTTAACACCCGATGAACCAAAAGTTGTGACTCTTGATCTCCTAAAAAATCTAAACCCAGATGACGTTCAGAACGAAAAGTCGAGAGGCCAACTTGTGGTTGAGGTCAACTACAAACCATTCAAAGATAATGAGATTTCAACTAACGTCGATGACCCGAACGAGGTACAGAAGGCTCCCGAAGGTACACCTGAAGGCGGTGGCTTGCTCGTGATTATAATCCACGAAGCTCAAGACTTGGAAGGAAAAAACCACACGAATCCATCCGTACGCGTCTTGTTCCGTGGGGAAGAAAAGAAAACCAAGGTAGCTTTTTTTGTCTCTTCGAAATAACAACCATAAGTAAAATGTAAACTTTTGTTTTGTAAAAAGGCATAATTGCCTTAATATCACCGTCTTTTTTCGAAATTGCAATTTCCTCGCAACCTATTCACTTTTGCAAATTATATCACAATTCTTCAGTTTGTCGCAAATCGGTGCACCGATTTTCAAAACCCTTGCAAACTATATCAGCTTTTCTAGGGCTGGTTTTTAGAACTCATGCACTGATGTGCAACAAACTAATTGAAGATTGTGATATAATTTGCAAAAGTGAAAAGGCTGTAGTGATTAAACTGTAATTTCGGCAAAAAAGTAGCGATATTAGGGGCAATTTTGCCTTTTGTAGAATTGTTTAATTTTACGGGAAACACCAACCCCTGACTTCTTGTATAACTACGGATAATATAGATAACGTTAATATGCTTGATATTCTTGTAATATAAGATCTAGCTCGCACAGTAGTTTTTCGTGGCTAATCCTCTAAACATAGTTGAAATAATTTTCTTGATGTTTTTTGGTGCTCGCTACAAAGATTATTATGTTTGAACTTCATTTTGTTTTTCGTGCAATTTTTTCAGGTTGTGAAGAAAAATAGGGATCCGAGATGGGAAGAGGAGTTTCAGTTCATGCTTGATGAGCCCCCAACAAACGACAGGGTTCATATTGAAGTAGTTAGTACTTCAAAGAGAATGGGCCTAATACACCCTAAGGTATATAACAAGTACATGATGCATAGTTCTTGATATCGTTTAAAATTGTTCGTATTGCATAAACAGGAGAAAAAAAGTATTGATTTTTTAGAGAATGTCTGCTAGAAAAGTTCAAACTCCTGTTTAAGATGCTATCGTTTGATTTTTAAATTCGATTGAATGTAGCAAAAGCGAAAGTATATTTTCATTTCTTATGCTGTGTAATTTTTGTTGTAGGAAATTTTGGGTTATGTGGATATATACCTATCGGACGTTGTGAACAACAAGAGGATCAACGAGAGGTATCACCTTATCGACTCTAAAAACGGGCGAATTCAGATTGAGATGCAATGGAGAGCTGCATCTTGAGCTATGAACTTTGAAGGCTTTGTGAAATTCTTGTGAATAATCAATCTCTTTATGTTTTGCAGCCATTAATGCATGCCTGCCTAAATGCTTAGGATATTATTTGTTTATGTTCACAGTTGATGGCTTTTTGCACTCTGTTGATTAGTGATAATTAAGAATTAATCTCTCCTAAATTTTGTTCCTTCCCGATAATTTCGATACTTGACGAAGATTAATTTCCTATGTTATTAACTTGTTACTTTAACTCATTTTTTTAAAAAAAAAAAATGAGTGAAATTTGATTTTTTTTGGTTAATTACTCAGGTTTTACATTTCTATATGTGGAAATAAAAAGAAAAATCAAAAATATTTTTTTTTAGGATTGAGATGTCGAATTCTTGAATTCTATTCTCCAATAACTATACTACGAAACAGATTAGCACTTAACAAATAAGTACATAAAATGTTACGTTCCGTTACGGAATCATTTCATCAGGGTTTATAATTATTAGATCATCATGTAACCGTCAGAGATAGTTGATCTAACGGTTACAAATCTTTATGAAATGGTTACGTAACAAAACCGTAGCATCTCTGCATCATATAAACGATGATATATATTACATAATATTGGATAAGTGGATAACAAACTCTGTTAATAACACAAAATTCGTATGAATTATCCATCTACCAAAACTGGCACATTAATTAATATGAGAAATATTGTTAATCATCCAATTGCACGGTTGGTATGTTAACTTGTAATCTCAAACTGATTATTTTTTACAAATGCGTGTAATCACTAATCAGCTAGTCAAAGTATGACACAATGTGTGTCAACCTTTGGTTGCAGAATAAATCTATCACATATGCATACCTTTACTTAAAATATACTCTCTCCTATTCATTATAAATGTCGTTTTGACTTTTTTGATTCATCCATTTTGTTATGTATCTAGACATATTAATGTCTAGATACATAACGAAATGGATGAATCACAAAAGTCAAAACGACATTTATAATGAACATGAGGTAGTAAGATAAAATCACATACATGAGTGCTTCATTTTCATTTATTCATAAAAACAAAATGGATATTTGATTCGATATCATCATTTTTTTCTAAAATTAAAATTAGGGTTCTTGTTGAAAATGAGGATCAATAAGACGGTGTCGTTTTTCCTTCTAATGTGATAATTTGAGACTAAATTTTTAACTCACGAAAGCCATGTACGCATTGTTGGACAAAAATTGATTGAAGACAAATGTGCAACAAATAACAAGAGTAGTGTATTATGTTGCAACATTAAAAAATGCACTTTTACACATACAGTAGCTCTTACTAAATAATTGCACATATACTTTTTTTGGTACAATAAGGGGAGGGCAAAGGCCTAACTTAGAACTTGTCGGGATGTTGGTATGGCTCATATATTGACAAAGGAAGAGGGCAAGCTTATGCCTGCGAGCGTAACGGAGCGAACGTAGCGAGGGAAGCGGAGCCCCCGCGGTACGGTACAGGGTATTTAAGTAATTTTATACCTTGTAGGGTTTTAGTATAAATACATGGTGTATTGATGTATTTGATACGATTGAGAATAATAAAAGATCCCTCAGCCGCCGTGGACGTAGGCACATTGCCAAACCACGTAAATCTTGTGTTGTTTATTTTTCTCGTTTTTTAATTCGTGTGCCATATTGTCATCTTCACTCAACATGGGATACGACACCCCTAACATATCATGAGAAATCCAGACACCAAGGCCCACAGGAGGGGAGTCGAGACGGTGTAGGCGAACCGGGTAAGATGCCGCCAAACTTGCCAAATGGTCAGCCGCGAAATTCGCCACCCTATATATATGATGAACGCGAACACTCCAATTCCTATGAAGAAGCTCATGTATAGCTCGAACCAAGGCACCATGGGGGCCCACCAAGTCTTCGGAGTCACAAACCATCGTCTTAACACATAGGCTATCAACCTCCGCAACCACTTTCCGATATCCTTCGCCCATGCCAACCACAAGCCCTGAAATAAGCCCCACAACTCCACGCTCGTAATTGTACATGACCCGATATTAAAGAGAAACCCCGCAAGCCACTGTCCATCCTCGTCACGAATCAAACCACCGGCACAACTCGAGCTATTACTATTATTCACCGCACCGTCAGTATTTATTTTAACCCATCCAGGCTCCGGTCGGGACCAACGAATTTGACGTGTGACATGCACAACCGCACCAGCACGTCTATAATCTGCCATAGCTTGAGAATAGCTAGTCGACATTCGCAAAATTTCGAGTCTCCTGCACTCCACGCTTAAGGTCTGATTTTTAAAAATACTTTCATTGCGCCAAAACCATGCTCGCCAAACAGTAATCGCAAAGGTGGTATTCCAATTCTCACATGTTCCCAGTTTCGCCAACGACAAGTTCATTCGCATCCACTGTTGTAGAGGCAGACTGAAGAAACGTACATCGTGATCCACCGGTAATAGGCTCTTCCAAAGAACACAGGTAGATGGGCAATCTCGTAAAACATGGATCACCGACTCCAATCCTCCACACCTGTCACAAGCGGCAGATGTCGATAGGTGCCGTCGCAGTCGCTCAGCATTAGTAAGAATACATTCTTTTGCAGCTAGCCACAGTAAGGTTCGTGCCCGCTGTGGTGCCGGGGTCCTCCAGATCAGCTTCCACAAAGAACGATCAAAGTCAATCACAGTTCCGGCAAGGGCCCGATAAGCCGATTTTGTCGAGAAACGGCCGTCCTCTGAGTGCCCCCAAACAATATGATCTTCGCCGGCAATAGCTCGCGGAGGCATTGTTCCAGCAATTTTCAGGATAACGGAGGAGGGGAGGGTCCCATGAAAACACTGCCACATCCACTCTCCATTCGTGTCCACATAGTCGGCGACAACAGCATCAGTATTAACCGAGGGAGAATTGGGGTGAATAAACCTCACCAACGGTCCACTCGAATCTAACCAGGTATCAAGCCAAAATCTTATTCTCTCGCCATTCCCTAAGACCCATCGGATACCATTAACGACATGAGGCCAGATATGGCGAATTGCTAGCATTAAATTGGACACCTGCTGGCCTTGTCCCAATTCCAGCGTACCTGAAAAATTCAAGTTATATTTTGCTGAGATTACTCGAGTCCATAGAGAGTCTGGTTTCGTCAAAAGACCCCATCCCAATTTCATTAGAAGAGCATCATTCATGAGGCGGAGATCTCGAATACCTAAGCCCCCTTCACTTTTCTGCCGGCATACGTCCTTCCACGCCACTAGATGAATCTTTTTCTTTTCATTCGTACCGCCCCAAATAAAGTCCCGACACCTCTTCGCAAGCCCATCGGTAGTTGCCCTAGGTAGCATGGAGGTTTTCATCGAAAAGAAAGGTAAGGTACTCAGCACAGATTGAGTAAGGGTCACCCGCCCGGCAAGAGAGAGCGTTTTCATACGCCATCCGGCTAAACGCGAATTTTTCTTCTCCAAAATGTGGTGATAGGTGTCTTTGGATAGACGGTCATGGAGGATAGGCACCCCCAGGTATTTACCCAGGTTATCCGTGACCTTGAAATTTAAAGCCGACGCAAGTCTACTCCGTTCATGCTCCGGTA